AATTGTTGATCGTCTCATTTGTACTTAGTTCATATACAGAGTGTGAACAAAAGAGATCCAATACCTGTAATGATTCCTACAAAAATGTACATTTTAAAACTCATGTCTTGATAGAAGTAATAGATATAGTCTCAAAGGACCAATGATCAAAAATATTATTTTGTTCAAAATCTGTATAAATCTTTGAAATAGAAAATATATCTCACACAAAGATAGACTACCTGTTATAGTAGTCTAGCAAAAGAATGATAGTTTTTCCTCTAGGAAATTTAATTTTGCTAGTACGCAATAATTCATTAATATAATATATCTAAATGGGACTTCAGCATTTCCTGCTGATGGTCAATACCTCACCTCATTTTAATTCTCATAATCATCCTGGGAGATAAAGTGGATGGTTATTATCGTGCCTGATTTGCAGTGAGGCACTGAGAGATTGAGGGGCCTGGCAGATCAGAATCTGAATCCAGATGCTCAATGTAATGTGGCCACTAAGAAGGTGGCCATAATGGATGGGACAGTGATAGGTGAAAACATTTGGACAGATCTTCAGAATGAGTTAGCAGCTAAGCAAGAGTTGAAAAAAAATTTGAACTCTCCACTATAGTCAATCTATCTAATCTATCCCTTCATTTGGGGTAGATTTTTTAAATGTTAGCAGGTGATAGTATATTATAGTCTCAGATCCAGTAGATTTTTTTTTTGCATAGGTACAAGGAGATACATTTTAAAAGACAGCATGCAATGCTTTAATAAAAATACTCTCTATTAAAATCATAATATTTGTGTGGCAATAGTTTACCAAAGTTCTTTCTATGTAGTATACCCGGAAAGGAGAACACCTTGTTCATGCATTCTGTATAGCATTGACTATTGTCAAGTTGAGATATTTTGTATTGAAAATAGGAGAGATTATATTATCTCAATCACGTAAAAAGATCTGTGGTATTTTCTCAATTATTGTTTTTTCTTGTAAAACTTTAGTTCTATTATCCGTGCTCAGAGAGTGCACTCAGGCACTCAAGAAACATTTATCGAAATGAAATGAAACAAAAATTGCTGTGTGAGGGCTAGCAGTTGGAACAGTGAAGTAGGAGCAAGGAAATGTTATCAGAAAAAGTCAGAAATAGTATTCTTTTTTTTTTTTGAGTTGGAATCTCACTGTCGCCCAGACTGGAGTGCAGTGGCCGCTCTCGGCCACCACAGCCTTGACCTGCTGGGCTCTGGAGATCCTTCCGCCTCAGCCTTCTAAGTAGCTGGAACTACAGGCACATGCTACCACGCCCAGCTAATTTTTTTTTATTTATTGTAGAGACGAGGTCTCGCCTGCCCAGGTGGGTCTTGAACCCGCGGGCTCAGGCAATCCACTCACCTCGGCCTCCCAAAGGCACGGGATTATAGACTGAGCCACTGAGCCCGGCTAGTATCATTCTTTTTTAAAACTCCTGGGCTTTTGGAGGATGAGTATTTCAGTAGTGCATGGATAAAATAGTTAAATTTTCAGCTGATAAAATTGTTCCTAATTATTAAGATAGAATTAGGTAAATCATTGTTTTACTCTATTCTACAGAACCCATGAAATCTAGGCATTTTATGGCTTGAACAAGTCAGTGAACTCTGCTAGGAGGAGAGAAATGAGAAAAGGGAAGAAAGGTGAATGGACCATCATGCCAGTGGCTTAGTGAGATGCTAAATTTACATACATGATCTTATATAAGCCCATGCAGTGCTATCCTCCTTCAAAGACAGGAAGCAGGACACAGAGGAGTTTGACGGTCTGACCCACAATCCCATGGTCCCACAGTGTGGAAGTTAAGAGATAATGTTTATATTCAGGTCTATGTTATTGTTTCTATTGCTTCTCAAATCTGCTTGTTCCAGGCCCAGATTCTTGCTGGAAACCCTGGAATTGCCAGTCTTTCTGGTTCAATCCAGAACCTCTCTTTAACAACAATTAAGGCAGTTTTAAGTTGGCTTTTATAAAGCAAACTGCATATTAGTTGAATATGAGTAAACTCACACTTTTCAAACAAGTATATCCAAATAGATATGCAAATATACATGAATAACTTACTGAACTCAGATCAGGATTTTGTCCTTACTGTTGAACTAAATCTATCTTTGTCAAGGTCACCATGATCTCCATGTTGCTAAATCTAGTGGTAATTTTAACTGTCATCTTACTTAATCTATCAACAATTTAATGCAATTATTTTTCCTTCCTTTTTAAAAACAAACAAAAAATCTTGGCCATTTTTAGACCTCTTCTCTTTTCTCTCTACACGCGTTCTCCATCTGGTCTACCAACTTTAAATACCTGTGCTGACCACTCTCCACTTTCTATCTCCAGGAAAGACCAGTTCCCTGACTCCATACTCATATATTTAACTGCTTGCTTGACATTGCCACTTGGGTGTCCAGTGGACATCAGGCACTTGACATATTTAATACTGAGCTTCACATTGTTCCCCTGAAACCAGTTTCTCCTGTAATCTTCCGTATATCAGTAAATGTCAAGTGTGTCAATGGATGACCTTTATAGTTTTTCAAGCCAAACTTTTGGCATCCTCCTGATTCTTCTCTTTTTCGCTTACCTTCTTTCCTTTGCATCAGCAAATCAGTCAGCTCTTCCTCCAGAATATCTCCAGAAACTGGCTACTTCTCATCACTTCTACTATTGTTCCCCTGGTCCAAAGCACTGAAATCTCTGGTCTGCGTTATTACAGGAGATTCCTGACTAGTCTCTCTCTTTCTGTCCATGACATCTTATAGCCTATTGACACAGCAGCATAGTGATTGCACCAAAGTATGTCATAAAGTCTATCCTACATTGACTCAATTTTCACCTTAGAATAAAAACCAAAGTCTTTACAATACCCTACAAGACCCTACAGAATGTATTCCCCAACTTCCCCTCTAGTTAACTCTCAATATTCCTCTTTCTTCTCTCCCTTGCTTCCTTATCTCCAGATACTGTAGGTTCTTTGCTCTCCCTTTCCCATCCCAGGAATATTCCCTCTTCAGGGTCTGTGCACCAGTGGTTCCCACGGAGATATGTGTGGCTTACTACCTCATCTCCTGCAGGAATTCACTCACATTCCTCCATTGAGTCTTTGCCTGATCACCCTACGTAAATTACAATTTCTCTCCAAAAACATCTCCTAATCTTTTCATGCCAATGCTTTATTTCTTTCCAGAACTCATGTCACCATCTGACATACTGCTCATTTTACTCATTTACCTTTATATATCATGTTTCTCCCACTAAAATATAGTCTCTGTGAGATTTTACTTGTGTCTCTGTCACCCAGGACCATACTTGACACATAGTAGGCACTTATTAAACGTGTGGAATAAACGAGCAGCTAACTTGAACATGAATACTTAAATTTTCATCTAACAAATTATAGATCTAACGTTTTTCTAGTGTTGATTTCAAACCCTTTGAAAAAAATGCCACTTATCCTGGATTTGTTAGCGGACTATGCCTTGTCTGTTCCTCTGTGGATCTGCTCTGGAGTTTGTTATAGTAATGCAGGAAAGTCTTAATTCTCTGCTGGCAAATGTTTAGACATTCACTTTAAGCACGGTATTTCTATCAGCACTACTTTTATAGCTCTGACTATTCCTTTGACAGATAGAAATCAAGGAAATAAAAACCCTCTCTTGTGCTGCATTGAGTGCCCACCTTGGCTACCAGTGAACACAGAGAATCCTGGAATTTTCCTTTTCTGGTTTAACTACTTCATGTCTAGGAGAGGCCCTTATGGGGTATAGTCATGTGTTTATTCCATTTATTCTTTTGGTGAAATCCATATTATTTGCTTGAGATTCATTGAAGGTGGCTTACTTAATATCAGTCCAGTTATTTTTCTATACTGGTTAGGTATGTGGAAGGTCTTTTCCCCTGAGAACTCCAACTGCTCCGCATTGTTTCAGTGAACAGGATATTCTGTACCTGGCAGTTCTTACCGACCCAGCTAGAAGTGGCCAAATGATGCATTTCACTTTCAGGATCTTTTGCTGCGTTTTCATATTCCCAGGTGCTATAAATAGCATTTCAGGGAACACTCAGGTACGCTGAACATTTTCTTTGCAGTCCAGTTCAGTGTTTACAGAAAGAAAGTCACATGCTGTCTGGTTCCACACAAGTGATTGGCCCTATAGTACCTTCTAAGTTCTAGACTGACCCACTCAGAGTGTTCATTTGCTCTCTGTTCATTTGCAGTATATGCTGAGAGCAAATGTGCCTGTGCCTTTTTAAAATGCTGCTTTCTCTGCCTGGAAAAAATCGTACTTATTCTTTAAGGTTTATCTCAAGTGAGAAAGTTTTCCCTGAGTTGGTTCAGCATAAATGCCTTCTTGTTCCTGTATGAGATTCCCCATATAGCATTTGGTAAATATCTCTTTGGCTGCAACTTCAGCAAAATCTTTGATATTATTATCTACGTGTGTATGTTCACACTCCTCCCCCCACCCCTTTCTCTCCTCACATCCCAAATTGTGAATCCTCAGGCCTGTGTCTTCTGTACCCTTGTATCTGTCTCCAACGGTTAGCATAGAAGATGCTCGGAGACGTTTGTTGAGTGAATGGCTGATTGTATGAATGAATAAAATTGTAGTCACATAGGGGAATGGCATTCATTTGAGTTTGTTTCCAGTTTAATGCCTTTAAAAATAATCTTATGCTTAACTTGGAGTTTTCTATTTTCCCTAGAAAACACCCTCTACTATGTATGTGCATGGCCAATTGGAGACAGAAAAAATATGCTGTTATATTTAAATACACTTGAGGGAGTTTTCTTGTTTTGCTTTTTTTAATTTCAAAGAAACAAGCTAGTTTATTCCTTACAAACTTCTTGGCATCTTTCTTTTCACATGCTCTTTTTGTTCAGTCCAGTCTTCAGTGAAATTCCTCCAAAGGGTCTGCTGTAAATAATGATTTTGTGAGCAGTTGTGTGTTCTTTGCAGTGAAAACCTGCCTTGTTTTCTGTTGCTAGGCAACCCCATTCCAGCTGCCATTGAAGAAATGCGCAGTGGTGGGAAATGGTGGGATTCTGAAGAAGAGTGACTGTGGCCGTCAAATAGATGAAGCAAATTTTGTCATGCGGTAAGAGAGCACCCACAGCGCGGCCTCTGCCTTCTCTGCTTTCCCTACCCCTCCCATATGCCCTGGGGCCTTTCAAAATGAGTCACTTGTGATTAATCAGTTGTAGTGCACTCCTTAGTGTCCCTTCAAGCTCATACACAAGTGAGTTTAGGAGAGGGCTAAGGGGAGCAAGGGAACATGCTCTGAGAAAGTATAAAGCCAGGAAGGCTCAGATGGAGCAAAGATACCCCCTCTGCAGAGAACAAAGGCAGCAGGAAAAAGTGGAAATTCTCAGACCCTATTTTAGATTATACAGTCAGGCCATTAAAGCTTTTAAAATGGTTCTTTCGTTAAGGCTGTCTATATAAGCATTTTTTTTTTTTTTTGAGTTGGAGTCTCACTCTGTCACCCAGACTGGAGTGCAGTGTCCGCTCCCGGCCACTGCAGCCTCTACCTAATGGGCTCCGGCGATCCTTCTGCCTCAGCCTTCCAAGTAGCTGGAAATACAGGCGCACGCTACGACACCTGGCTAATTTTTGATTTATTGTGGAGATGAGGTCTCGCCAGTTGCTCAGGCGGGTCTCAAACCTGCAGGCTCAGGCAATCCACTCATCTCAGCCTCCCAAAGCGTGGGATTACAGGCTGAGCCACCGAGCCCGGCTAGCATTTTAATTTATTCATTTTTATTCTATACCCTGTTCTGAGTTTTTCACAAAATCCAGTGTAAGGAACAAGTGGAACCTTAAGAGAGATTTGATTTGTGTGCGACTAGGAAAACTGGAAAGGGGTGGAGGTAAATTTCAAACACGGAGGATGCTTTATAAAAGGACTGAGCCAGAGTGGTGATCAGTTTCAGGGAAAATTAGGGGGACCTGCAGAGGCGCATAGAGAAATTACTAAGACACATCCAATCAGGGGTAGAGACCACCAAATTGTAGTGGTATCCACCTGCACTATTGGATGAATCTGACCAGATCTGTCAGGTGTAGAAGCAAAGACAGCAGCAGGTGATGGGATGAATACAGGTCTGGGATTATCTGAGTGAAAGGAAGGAAGGACAAGGAGTGACAACATGGAGAGTTCTGGCTAACAAGAGTGTGAAGGAACACACCTCGATGTCTGGGTTGCATAGGAAGGGGGCTCTCTGAGATGTGTGAAGGAGAAAGGAAGGGGACCAACGTGAGGTCAATCAGAGGAGAGGGGACTGGTGGATCTTGGCTCCGAATGAGGGACAAGTAGAATAGTAATAAGAAGCTAAAGTCAAGGGACGGTTCACTGGAGGATAAGATTTCAGAGCTTAGTTTATCTGGGGGATAAGCAGATATGTTTAGTAAAAAGAAAATCTTTGTTATTGAGGAAGTAAAGTGATTTTGAGGGCAGATTTGGGGGGCAGTGAGGGGTCTTTCAGGTCAGGTCCCAATGAATCAAGAATGACTTTGAGCCAGGTGCCAGAAGGCTCCATGGCCAGGAAGGCTGAAGACCTCAGCAACACTGAGAGCAGAAAGGTGAGCAAAGGGTGGAGGGAGATTTTGTGTTTATGTTTATTTTTAAGTATAAAGGAGTAATGGTCTAGGTATGACAAAAGGTAGCCAAGAGAACACTAAGCCTCCTCTGAAGTCCCAGCTAAGTGGGGTAGGGGAAGAGTAGAAACTGAGAACTTGGCGGGGAAGGCCAAGTTCCCTCTCAGAGAATGAGACTTGGGCTTCCTGAAAGACATTTTATCTCACTTGATGAAGCCTGGGGCGGAGTGAGGAGATCGTTCTATGCCTACCTTTCCTTTGTGGAAGTGCCTTAGCATAGTTTTTCCAGTGTAGGACTGTGTTTTTCTCTCCATTGCAACTTATTTTTGCAAAAATATGCACAAACAATAGGAAAATGGAAACAAATAAAAATGTAGTTATCTTAATTTCAGTCAATGCAACATCTGTTTGTTGAGCACCTATTTTCGATTGGGCCTTAAGCTAGTTCTGGAAATAATATGTTGAAAAGTTCTGTCCTGGACTTATATCCTGGAGATGTGCTTGCTATGAAAGGGGAGTTCAGACACATAGGAGCTTCTCAGGTGTCTGGGCATTGTCCTTTCCCCATTCCACTGTAATAGGGGAAAAACAGCAGCAAGTGCTGCTGCAGTGTTGTGAGCATGGAATGGTATGAGATGGAGCCAGAGAGGTCTTTAAGGCATAGGGTTGAATGAAATCACCCATAGAGCATGGAGAGATGATAAGAGCAGTAACCCTTGGCCACCTTCAGGTACGCACTCCAATATTTTGGCATGAGGTAAGGCTGAGGAGCAAGCAGAGAACACAGAGAGGAAGAGGGACAAGCCCTTCCTGTTGACTAGGTCTGCACCCTACCCCATGTTATTTTACCTTTGCTGGGGCTCAGCTTTCTCATTGGTATGAGGCAGTGGGTAGACAATTCCTAGACTTTTCCTTGGTGGCAACTCCAGTTCTATCGATGACTGTACTGTATGAATACTGTTTCATTGTGACATAGTTTATATATAATAGTTTGGTTTAAATTTCCAAATTGTTCTTGAGTATGTTTATTTGCTCTTTCCAAAAGCCATGTAAGGAAGAAGGAATAGATACTATTAAACTCACAGATTAGAGATTGAAGTGATTTCAAGTGAACTTAATGACATGTAGAAGGAGGCAGTACAATACATATATTTTTATATTATTTGTGAGTGTGTATATGTATGTGTCATTACATTTAGAGAGATAGATGTTTACTAAACATGTAGAAAACTAGGCCTAACCACCATAGGGGGTTATCTAGAGGGGCCTATTTATCACAAATAAACAATACTATGCAGGCCTTATGTGCAGTCTGGTGTTGATATATTCAAGTTCATAATTACTAAGTGTCTGTAATTAGACTGCCCAACACAGTATTAAGCATACTTTTCATAGAATATGAGGGAAGTGTGGATTGAAAATCATTCAAAGAAGGTAGTGCCATCACTAGAGCTATGCATGCATGTACTCTTGATATAATTTCAAGAATAGTGTCATTTTCATAACATATTTGAATTTTTAAAGCCTTATTTATGCTTTGCAATATGGGAATAATAAATATTGACACATTATTTTAAAATTAATATTTGACTATTTACATATCCATTTATAAATTGTTGCTTCATTCATATTTTGGGGGCACCCTTGCAATATTGAAGTAGTATCACATATTCAAAATTAAATTTTGAATGAGTAAATGTAGATTACAAAGCACAGGATATATCTGGTCCTGGACTATAAGGGTGCATGGATTATCAGATACAAAGAAGAATTCTAAAAATAGCCCTGCCTGTACACAGTGGCATACCAGATTACAGTTCAAGATGTCTTCCAGGGCTAGGATATAGCAATTCCATAATATTCTTTGCTTTGACATTTTCAGACACTTACATTTGCTAGTGCTAAAAATCAATTCCTCATTTTTCAAAGTAAAAATTTTCTCTGTAACCAAAAACAACACTTTAAGAAAATAGTATTATTGAATTCAGTTTATCTGGAAGGTCTGTAAGACAGAAGTAACAGTGACTGCATCGTGGAGAGGAGCTGGGTGGTTCAGGGACATGAATGAGAGCAGCATAATTTTGGTGCCTTTTGAATTATGCTCAAACATACATTCTGCATACTCAAATATACATACAAATTTAAAGTAATTTTATGATTTTTCTATTTAAAGACTCCACTCCACCAAGCCCATTTCCCACCTACCTCAACTCCCCAGTTCAAAGAATATTCATTTCTCATCAATTCTGTGATCACCTCTCTTTTAGCATCATGAGCACAGTTACTAAGACACGTTAGCTATTGATATCTGTTAATTGTGCCAATAAGTGATAATGCAAAGTTTGAAACACTTTTACACAATATGCTTTATTAGAAACAATTTGACTGTATTACATGTGCCTTTTATGTAAATCTATATATTTATCAACTTAGGAGTTAAGGAGCTGAAATTATAGTGTACATTTACTAAGAGAAAGGATACAGGAAAGTGCCACAGTTATTTGCACTTGAAGAGAAAGTTTACCCAGAAAAACTTAAGGCAGATATTTATACCAAAATATATTGCCATTATTTTCCAGAAATACATATTAAATATTATCTTTATTGCATATAAAATGCATGTTAAATATTATCTCGTGTTTTTTAGCATTTACCTCTGTTAAAGGAGATAATACATGCGAGTTTTTCTTGAGCTTTTACTCTGTGATTGTAAATATGAAGAGACCCAGACATATGAGCCATGGAACACACAGAAAAACGATTTACTCATGAAAAACAACTTATTTTGTTAAATAATGACAAAACAGGTTGACAACACTCCCCAGCAACATTCAGAGTTTACAGTTTTAGTATAACATAGATGATTCTCACGTTTCCAAGGGCAATCAAGACCAAAGTTTCTTTAAGAGATAAGTGCTTACATTTTAGTCTGTGTTTTATCTTAGAAGACATCTTCATCTTTGCAAAGATCGGTTAAATCACAAGACCACAGTCAATTAAAATAGCCGGATGAACCTGATTGTTAACACATAAACTCACTCCCTCATGAGAATCTTCAGGAAACCACATGAAGTATGGGGCCACCACTAGACTGTAGATGCCTCAAGAGTGGGCACTGTGACTTGGAGCTCTCCCCTGAGTTCCCCACAATGCCCACTGTGTTTGCTGTCATCGGACATTCAGCAAAAGTTACTGGCGGGCTGACTGACTGACCTTTGAGTAGTTGCCAGAAGAGCCAATATCTCATTACCAAAGAGCAGATAAAAGAAAGATTCTAAATCAATGGAGATAAGTTTCCACATAGGATGCCTTGAAGTGGTGAGGATCACAGGGTAAAAACAAGACAAAATCAGGGATTCTGAGTTGATCAGCTGAGTGGGCACACGGAAAATTCCATTTCCCTGAGGAAAATTTATAGGGATAATTTAGTAGTTGGGGAACTAGCAGAGACAATATTTCTAAGATCTCTTTACCTGCATTTAAATGATGCCTTTGTTTGCTGGAGTAATAAAAAGTTAGAGAAGCTCTGATGTGGTAGTTGTCAAGTTAGTGGTATAGGTAGAGAGGAGAAATTAGGACACATAAGAGAAAACTATAGACTCATTTGGGTTTTTCACAAATAATGGAAGTATATTTAATTATATTTGCATGGTATTCCTGATTTGTGATACTTTTGAAGTTTTACTATATATGAGGGATCAAAGTTAGGGACTTTTTATACATTATATAATACTACAGCCCAATAAGAGAGAAAAAAAATCATTATCCTCATTTTAAGTCATGGAGAATCTGAGGCCAGACTAATGTCCTTTAGGCAGAGAGCCATCAAATTTGGATTTGCAGTGGCCATATTTTTCAAGGCAGTAAACATTCATAAGATATTGTAGCCAAGGAAGGTAACCGAGACAGGGTGGTAATTTGGAGATGGGAGTGGGTGATTATTTCCATTTCCAGTGAAACATTTTTTCCTTGGCTGAACTGGAATGGTAGAGAATCACTACTACACTTCTGTGGATGACAAATCATTAAGTCTTTACCAGTAATCAATTATGCGGTCAAATTGACTGCATACACAAAAATCAAACATGCATTGATTTAGGTGAATAGCGCATTGCCCTGAAGGTATTATTATAATCTAGATTTTGGGAAAAGAAGAGAAAACACAAGCAAATATATTCATTCCTCCCAGTCTCTTGAGGTTTACAGGTATGCAGAGACTACTGTAGGTTCAATGTCCTCTAGTGCACCCACTCTCCTGAGCTCTAATTTCAAGTCTAATACTCCCTGTTCTACCATCTCAAAAATATTTTAAATAGAATAAATACATTGTGGTTACTGTGTCTTTTCTTTCATAGATCATTTACCTCTCTGACATTTTCTTCTAACACAAGACTAGTTTTTATGACAGCATTTTGAAGATGCTGTTAACTAATTAGTCATCTAATGTCTATTAAAAGGGAGAGGTGGTTAAAAAAAGTTATTTGTGAATTGAGCTAGAATTAATAAAGTTTCTGTGTCATCATAACTGAAGACTTAAATGTAAATCATTCTAAAATGTTTGTTCTTATTTCTCTAGATGCAATCTTCCTCCTTTATCAAGTGAATACATTAAAGATGTTGGATCCAAAAGTCATTTAGTGACAGCTAATCCAAGCATAATTCGGCAAAGGTAAGACTTTATGTGACTTCTGTTTGTGAGGAACTAAAGAGGAACGCTTTTGAAGTATTTAGCATCTCAAAGGCAGTGAGCATAATTCAGTTTGGGAAACAAAGAGAAAAACTATCTGGAGGGGCAGGAAGGATAAAGGAGGGAATTGTAAATAAATGAGGTGGGATTATGGGAATTCAAACGGTATTTTATGCATCCTCTGGGATTCTGTTTCTTGCCTTCAGAGATGGTAGAAATAACATGAGAATCAATGGTTTTGCTCAAAGAACAGCATAATGTTCTGCTTACCTGTTATTACTACTATTTAATTTGTTGGCTTCCATCCTATTTATTGATTGATAACTGTGAAGTGAATTAATATCAAGAATAAAAACAAATGACTTATCCATGGGATATGCATGTATTAAAATAATGATATTGTCAGAACGTTCAAGAATGTGTGGTTATCGTAGATTATATTGCATTATACTCGATCAGATTTGGGAGAGCAGATGGAAAATTCTTGTTTTAGATCAATTCCAGAAATCTTGGGATTACTTGTAACGTTGGAAGTTCCTGCAGGAGCTTCTGAGTGGTCAGTCTTCAGATGATGAAGCCCATCAGTGGGCTATTAGCTGTTTCCTCAAGGTCCCTTCATTGCAGAGAGTAAGTCAATCTCCAAGAAAAGAGAAATTGAACATTGCATTTAGGCCCTCCTGTGAACCTAGCAGTTAGGGGGAAAATATCCAGATGTTCTGGGCTCAGGCATTTGTCATCTAAGGAAGTCCTATCCAAGTGAACAGCACATGTGTGTCACTTTATATATAATGTGTCACTACTTGTTTTGGTTCATAGTAAGTATTCTCATAAAATAGATATCTAGAAATGCAGTCAAACAATTTTTAATTTTGGGAGATACTGTGAAATTGTCCTCCCAAAATGTGTCATTTGTTTTCTTTTCAGTAATAAATAATATTACCTGTTTCCCCATGTCAAATAACAACCCTGCATTGTTCATCTTCTAAGTTTTTGTCAGTGTGTTGAATGAAAAATGATACATTATTTTTTAGTTAATTCACATTTTGCTAATATAAAAAGGGCTGAGTGGGATTGGCTGTTAGTATTTCTTCTTTTGTGAATTGCTTATTTGTATTTTTTGCCTATTATTGCTTTCTTTAAAAAATTTTTCCTATAGATTTATAGGAACTGTTTATGTTATTGATATTGTCTTTGTTATATTTATATATAGCAAATATTTTCTTCTAGTTTGTCACATATTTTTGTCCTATTAAAGTTTAAAACTTTGTTTTTACATTTTTAAAAATAGAAATGAGGTCTTGCTGTGTTGCCTGACTGGTCTTGAACTCCTGGGCTCAAGAAATACTCTGGCCTCAGCCTCCCAAAGTGAGTCACACCTGGCCAGAGTTTAAAACTTTGTGTGCAATAGGTTTGTTAGTCTTTTTCTTTAAGACTTCTTTTATAAAAACTTATTTCTTTGGTTTGATGCTCCTTACAATATTGTCCCTCCCTCCTATGATAAAAAATCCTTTATTTTTTTTAATGCATTTATAACTTTATTTTTATGTTTAAGAAATGTAATCCATAGGAATGTATTTTTATTTTTATAACAATAATTTTATTTTTTTCAACAAAAATATGTTCATTGTAAGACATTAAACAAAAAAGTACAAAGAAGAAAAAAAACACAGAAATATTTTCTTTGATTAATTAAATTTTTTATTTTTAATACTTATAGATTTACAGGAAATTGCAAAAAAAAAAAGTACAAAAAGGTACTCTTTAACCAGTTCTCCCCAGAGGTAACAACTTGCATAGTCTAATAGTACACTATTATTTTAATTTGAGAATATAATAACCTTTTTTTTTAGTTGGAGTCACTGTCGCCCAGGCTGGAGTGCAGTGGCACACTCATGGTCACCCCAGCGTCAACCTGCTGGGCTCCAGCGATCCTTCCACCTCATCTTTCCAAGTGGCCGGAACTATAGGCGCGTGCTACCATTCCCGGCTATTTTTTTTTTTTTTTAAATTTATTGTAGAGACAAGGTCTCGCCAAGTTGCCCAGGCTGGTCTTGAACCTGCGGGCTGAAGCAATTCACTTGCCTCGACCTCCCAAAGTGCTGGGATTACAGGCTGAGCCACCAAGCCCAGCTGGGAATAAAATAGCTTTTTAATAACTTTTTAGAAAGGAACATATGTTCCCATGGAGGGCACTGAAACATTCAGCATATTATATCCAGGAGCAGAAGACTCTGTTTTTCTATCTGAATATGTGGAGTTGGTGTAAGATTTAAAAAGGAATGTGAGAAAGAATATTTAGAGCAATATTTAGGGCAAGATAAAGGAGAGGGAGGGAGGGAATGAAGGAGGGAGACAGAGAGATCAATTGTTTTTGAGGAAAAAAAATTAACTACAAATGGAGGAAGAACAGTATCAAAAATAAAATATTGAAGAGGAAAGTAAACCTGTTAGTTAAGGTATGTGTTCACTATGAAGAAGAAGTTCGCAGACAAGAATTAATTATTATTAATATTGGTGAGCATTTAGTTAACATTTATATAAGGCAGGTTCTGTGCTTTTTATATGTATTGCCTAACTTAACTCTCAAAACAGTCCTTATAGCTAGGGACTATTTTAAGTTACATATTTCACAAAAGAAGAAACCTGTGATGTGTTAAATCTAGGAACCTGCTTATACTCACAAGTGCTAATAATCGACCTGGAACTTCTTTCAGTTCTCCTCATTCCAAAGTCCATGCTCTTAACCATTGACCATCTCTGAGAGGAAAAACCTCAAACTCTATTTTTTTTTCCCCTCTGCTCTTATACCACTCCAATAATCAACACAGACTTCTGTGACCAAATGTTTTTGGGTTTCTCCCCATACACCAAGCAAGCAACCAGTTCTTCAGTGGACACAACCTGGGTGTCCTCCAATTTCATTTCGGCACTATCTACTGATAGTGTCAGATCCCACAGAGCAAGGCTGTTTTCAAGACTGTCCCCTCTTCCCACCTGTCACAAATCCAGGTCTCCATAACTTCTGACTTACCTGCTTCAAGTTGGGATTCCTATGACTCCCTCTTTGGGTTCAGTTAATTTGCTAGAACAGTTCACAAAACTCAAGGAAACACCTGTATTTGTGGATGTTTTATATTATGAAGGACACAGATGAAGAGGTGCATAGGGCGAGGTATGAGGGAAGGGGCACAGAGCTTTCATGCCCTCCCTGGACTTACTACCTGCTGATAACCACCTTTTTATCAACCTTCCTATATGGAAGCCTTCAAATCCTGTCCTTTCAGGTTTTTATGGAGGTTTCATTCCATAGATATGCATGGTTAGCCAGGCTTGGTGGCTCAGTCTGTAATCCCGCGCCTTTGGGAGGCTGAGGTGAGTGGATTGCCTGAGCCCGCGGGTTCGAGACCCGCCTGGGCAGCGAGACCTCATCTCTACAATAAATCAAAAAAAAAACCAAAAAAAAAAACCAAAAAATCACCCGGGCGTGGTAGTGCATGCCTGTAATTCCGGCTACTCGGAAGGCTGAGGCGGAAGGATCACCGGAGCCCAGCAGGTCGAGGTTGCGGTGGCCGGGAGCGGGCACAGCACTCCAGTCTGGGCGACAGAGTGAGACTCCAACTCAAAAAAAAAAAAAGATATGCATGGTTAAATCATTGGCCATTGGTGATTGGTGTAACATTTAGCCTCTCACTTTTGTCCTTTCCCTGAAGCTTGGGACATGGAGCTGAAAGCCCCAATCCTCTAATCTTGCCTTGGTTTTTCCTGTGACCAACCCCTGAAGCTACAACCTAGGTGCTGTCAGCCATCAGCCAATTATAACGTACAAAAAGACACTGTGGAATTATAAGGATTTTAGGAGTTGTATGCCAAGAAACAGGGTCAAAACCCAGATATATTTCACAATATCACACCATTACATCCTCTGATCTTCCCCCATCCATGATCCATGTGTTGCACAAGGAGAGAATAGAGTTTTCACAAGCGATGAATCATTTTGAAAAAAATGAGCGAATTTTTTTTCATTATAGAAATTGTATTCAGTGTAACAAGGTTTCTGTTCAAATCAGAATATACACAACAATTCCATTCTGTGAAATAAAAAAATTTAATCTACAATAGCATTAAATAATATGATGTACTTAACAATTAAACAAGAAAGCAAGTGCTCTTTGGAAAAATTATGAAATTTTATTGACAGACATCATAGAAAACTTGATTAGAAGTACTGATATAATATGTGCATAATTGAAAGACTTAATATTATAAAGGCATCATGTTCACCCAAATCCATCTATAGATTTATAGAAATTCGATAGAAATCCTAGTAGTGCAGGCATGTGTATGTGTATGCAAACCTTGAGAGTTACGTAGAAATGCAATAGCCAAGAATAGCAAAGAAACTCTTGAAGAAAAAATGATTGTGAGGGTTGTTCTGTCGTATGTTGAGACTTATTATAAAGCTATCATAATTAAGACAATATGGCTCTGGTGCAGGAATAAACCAATTGAAATTGAATAGAAAGCACCTGGATAGCTTCACATATATAGAGATCTATATTTATATATGTATATATCTGAGGCAGATGTCATATTGTAGATCAGCGAGAAAAGGATACACTTTTCAAAAACAGGGTTGGGATAATTAGTTACCTATATGGGGAAAAATTAAATTAGATCTCTACCTCATAACTTACACCAAAATGTATTTTCAGATGGTTAAGATCTAAGTCCTAAATTTTAAAAGAAAAACAAGAACCCCTGTAGAAGATAACAAGTCTTGTGGTTTCTTAATTAAGAACAAAACAGTTCTAATTATAAGAACAAATATATTTGACTTTATGAAAATTAGTAACTTTCATTCATAAAAAAACATAATATAAGTAGGGCAAATGCAACCACATTGTAGAAGAAGACAACTAATAAAGGACTCATATACAGAAAATATGAAGAACACCTTTATATTTAATTTAGAAAGAAAATCAGAAGAAAAACCTACAACACAGTAGAAAAGTAAGTCAAAGAGTTGAACCAGCTCTTACAAGGAGATAGATCCAAATAGCCAATTAGTAAAAGAAAATAGGTTCTAATGAGGTATCACTAGTAATCAGAAGAATGCAAATCAAAAACTTAATGAAAACTGAGAATGGTGGTGCAAGCCTGTA